TGTAGGGAATACAGTCAATAATTATATAATATCTCTGTACAGAGATAAACGGTAACTAGACTTACCGTGGTGATCATTTTGAGATGTATAGAAATATCGAATCATTATACTATGCACCAGAAACTAACCCAGTGTTGCAGGTCAATTATACTTCAAAAAGAAACAAACAAACTCATAGAAAAAAGATCAAATTTGTAGTTACTAGAGGCAGGGGGTGGGTAGGGGAAGGGGGAACTGAATGAAAGCAGTCAAAAGGTACAAACTTCCATTTATAAGGTAAATAAGTACTAGGGATGTAACGTACAACATGATTAATATAATTAACACTGCTGTATGTTATACATGAAAGTTGTTGAGAGTAAATCCTGAGAGTTCTCTTCACAAGGAAAAATTTTTTTTTCTATTTCTTTTACTTTGTATCCAAATGAGATAATGGATGTTCACTAAACTTATTGTGATGATAATTTCATGATATATGTAGGTCAACCCATTATGCTGTATACCTTAAACTTATACAGAGCTGTACATCAAGCATATCTCAATAAAACTGGAAGAAAAAAATGTCTATAGCTTCTACGATTTTACTTACACACAGAAGAAAATATGGTATTAATTTTTTAAATGAAGACACCTGAAACTAATAAAGAAGCAAATTCAAAGAAAAACTTAATGGTCTTCAAGATATGCCCACTCTGAGATAGGCCATTTTTAGTGTACATAAAACGTTGCAGTTAAACAGTTGTGCTTCATTTAATGTTAAGCTTTAACCTGAGCTCTGGAAAATGTCTTTGAGGCAGAATTTTCTACCCAACTGAAGTAGTTTAAAATAAAAAAGACTTCCTACATACTCCAAATGTTGGAGGAAATATTAAAAACAATGTTTAAGAAGAGAGAGATTATCATTCTTTTTACTTCTACCATTATCCCTTCTAAAAGTTCTAAGTAACTGGGTAGCTATGTTTGGGAAATAGTCTAGTGCTGCAGATAACCCACAAATAAAAGCAACTTTATGCAAATTGGACAAACAAAATCAGTTTTGAGCCAACACAATTATGAATATGATGACAGAAAATACTCTGTTAATTCTTGGGGGGGTGGAAATATAAACAAGACGACAACAAAGAATATGACAAAACCACAGGCAGCTTAAGATATTAAATGCAATGTTAACCACACAAAGCACTTACCGGAGAAGCCAAATTTTAGTAAGTCTCCTAGCCTCATCCAACTGCCACAGATGAGCATTTCAGTGGCTCCCAAGCCTCACTTGATTTTAAAGGAGTAAAGGAGCAAACAAGGAATATAGACACTAGTTTTCATTCTCTCTCTTCCTCTCTCCCTTTTTTGAGAGGAGGGAGGCTAGCAGGGGTCCTTCAGATATCAAACTCAGGGTCCCTCAGGAGTTGCCAACTGCAGTGCACACAGGGCCACTCAAGAAATGTAAATGAAAGTGGGCTAAATAAAAAAGACTGTAGAGATATGGCAAATGTTAAATCCTGTCTAATGTCACATTCAAAGAAAATATCTTAAAAGAGCCAGAGAGAAAAGATAAACTATAAAGGAACAACAGATGGACTGACAGAAAACATCTTAGTAGCAACGAGAGCCAGGAAATAGTGAAGTAATATCTTCAAACTACTAAGAGAAAGTAAAGGTCAGCCTAGAATTGAAGATCCAGGTAAACTACCTTACAAAAAATAAGAGTGAAGATATTTTAAAAAAGTATGTATGTATGTATGTATGTATGTATGTATGTAATTTATTTATTTATTTATTTGGCTGTGCCAGGTCTTAGTTGTGGCATGTGAGATCTTAGTTCCCTGATCAGGGATCGAACCCGGGCCCCCACACTGGGAGAGCGGAGTCTTTACCACTGGACCACCAAGGAAGTCCAAGAGTAAAGATATTTTAAGACAAAAAAACAAAACAAAAAGCTGGTAAGTTCATCCCAAACTAACCCCCACTAAAGGAATGATTAAAAGATGTATCTGAAGAAAGAAGAAAATAATTATGAAAGTGAGGTCTAAGTTGTAAAAAAGAATGGTGAGCAACACAAAAAGTAAATATGAGAAAATCTAAAAATAACACTGTCTGAATAAAACAATACTACTAATAATATCTAATTTGGAGAGTTAAAAAAAGCAAGAGGGCTTCCCTGGTGGCGCAGTGGTTAAGAATCCGCCTGCCAAGGCAGGGGACACGGGTTCGAGCCCTGGTCTGGGAAGATCCCACGTGCCACGGAGCAACAAAGCCCATGTGCCACAACTACTGAGCCTGCGCTCTAGAGCCCACGAGCCATGACTACTGAGCCCGCATGCCACAACTACTGAAGCCCACACACCTAGAGCCCGTGCTTTGCGACAAGAGAAGCCACTGCAATGAGAAGCCCACGCACCGCAACGACGAGTAGCCCCCGCTCGCCGCAACCAGAGGAAAGCCCGCGTGCAGCAACAAAGACCCAACACAGCCAAAAAAAAAAATTAAAAAAAATTTTTAAAAAAAGGCAAGAAATGAGATAATAGACAACTACAGGTTGGTTGGAAAATGGGTGCTTAAAAAAACACTCAGAAAAAAAAAACACTCAGTATTTTAACTTCTAATTTCAAATTTATTTGCCAAAATATCATAATAAATAATGTTTCATATATGGCTTACATTAAAATAGGAAATCAGATTTTCTGACGGTTGATCACTTGCTGAATTTAAGATCATCATTAATTGCTGGATAGTATTCATGACAGTCCTAGAAAAAAATAGGAAGAAGTGTTAAGCAATGAAGGAATAAAAAGAAAAAATGATAAGTATCTATTTCATAAGTTACACATATCTTCAATCTCATTGTCTCCTGTTTATCTTTAAGAAGTTCACTGAAATAAGACTTTATAAAAGCCTTAGTGTACTGCTGTTTATGAGGAATTACATTTGACTTAAATCTTTAAAAAAGTATATGTCGATCATCAGTAAGTTTATAATTAAAGAAAAGATATGCTTATTTACTAATAGAACTAAATATCAACAAAACAATTGATGAAAGTAATGACATTATTTTAAGGATAAAACATAAACTGGCATCAAAATGGTAATATTTTAAGAAAACATTATTACAATTAAATATTAAAAATTTTCAAATAAAGAAAGATATTTAGTAACTCAAGTAGAGAACCAAGTGACTGTCCTTTACAGAGACCTTCAAGATGAAAGCATACGTAATTTTAGAAGTCATCATCACTAAAACATAAAAGTAGGTCAATCTCTTTAATTATATAATTGTGTGTGTGTGTGAGTGTGTGCGCGCGCGCGCGCTTGTCTGTGTATGGTATATAGTAAATATTAATGTTCCAATTTTGGAGTAGCAGTTCATTGCTACTCTGTAGGCACTGTTTAATGATGCAAAAAACTGTAGAATGTTTATAGCCAAAAGGGTCTTTAAATATTATTTAATAAAACATGTTCAGTGTTCTCAGTCAAGCCTCTCTAAACTGATATCTACACTTCCTCAACTTTTAAATATATTGCTTCTGTGATGCGTACATGTACTAATCTACTTAAGCCACAATGACTAAAGCCATTAAGTGACCAACTGCTAAAACCAAAAGATCTTTTTTATTTGTTCTGATACTTGATTTTCTTGAGGTATTTGACACTCTTAAACCCTTGCTCTCTTCTGAAACTCCCTTCCTCCCTTGGCTTCTTTGGCTTCATTCTCTGGCCTCCCCAATCACACCTCTCATTCTCTTTAATCTAACTTCTATCTCGTCCTTAAATGCTAGCATTCTTTAGGGTTCAGCCTTTAGCCAACCGTTATTGCTATTATGCACCCTCACTTCAGGCAACCTCATTCTGTTTTTTTTTTTTAATTTTAATTTATTTTTTTATACAGCAGGTTCTTATTAGTCATCCATTTTATACACATCAGTGTATACATGTCAATCCCAATCTCCCAATTCATCACACCACCCCCCTGACCCTGTTTTTCTGATTTAACTCTCCCTGATGATTCCCAAATCTATAAGATCCTTATATCCTACTACTTACTACATTATCTTCTTCATATCCCATAAATGCCTTAAAAATAATATTCTAAATATGAATTCATCAACTATTTATCAAACCTGTTCTTGCTCTTTCACTCCAACTGCCTATCTCTTGGTTCATATCTTCAGCATCTCTCAACTGGATTACTGCAATAGAGCATTTTGAGATTTTGACTATGTCTATGGCAGCAGGATCTAGGCATATGTACTTTGAAAAAACAAAAAAAACTCCTCAGGTTATCCTAATTTGCCTAACCACTGTGACAGACTGAGAGGTCTCTCTATTTCTCACCATGCTCTCCTCAGTCCATCTCTTCACAAACTACTACCATGTAAACTTTCACAAATCAAGTCTGATTTTATCCTAGCCCTGCTTAACACCCAGGTATAGTAACAGGCCATATCCTGCACAAGCTAAAGTCCAAACTTCTGAGTGTGGACTATAAGGCCTTTCATGATCTAATACCCACCCTCCTCTCCTGCCATTTCATCTTCCCATTTAGTCCATCAATACAGAGCTGCTTATAGTTCCCCAGATGCATCATGTTGTTTCATATTTCCATGCCTTTGCACATGCTGTCAGTCTCCTGTGTCACAAACTTACATGTTTCAAAATTCAGTTCAAATATCACTTCATAAAGTCCCTTCTGTGCCATCTCATTAACTTGTCCTATGTCTCTCACCATATTTAAACAAAAATGTATTTTTATGTGTCTATGTAGTCATTTGAAAAAATTACTGATTGTTTTACTATGTACCAAGTATTCTCCTAGGTCCTAATGATTAAATGGTGAACAAGAAAGTCATGGTCCATGTGGTATGGACTTAAAGGCTATTATGGGTATTGACAAAAGCAAACACACAGATGAATTTATAATTACAAATTGTGATACATACTTTGAAGGAATAGAACAGGATGCTGTGAGAAAGAATAATAAAGGAAAATACTTCAGGGAGAAATAAGTCCTCAAAAAAGTAGTATTTGTGCTGAACCTAAAAGAAGGGTAGTAGTTGGCAATTCATAGAAAAGAAGGAAGAGTTTCAAGAAGAAACAGAAGTGGGGCTTCCCTGGTGGCACAGTGGTTGAGAGTCCGCCTGCCAATGCAGGGGACATGGGTTCGTGCCCCGGTCCGGGAAGATCCCACATACCATGGAGCAGCTGGGCCCGTGAGCCATGGCCGCTGAGCCTGCACATCCGGAGCCTGTGCTCTGCGATGGGAGAGGCCACGGCAGTGAGAGGCCCGCATACCACAAAAAAACAGAAGAAACAAAAGCAAATATGAAGGTCACTGAGTACAAAAGAAGACTTTGGAGAGTTCAGAAAACTGGCTAGTACATAGTGAGCAGGAAAACAAGATGAGGTTGGAGAGGTAACAGAAGCTAGATCATATAAGGTCTTGTAGGCACTGATAAGGAATTTGCACTGTATTTCAATTGCAGTAGGAAGCAATCAGAAACTTAAGAGCAATCTAGCTCTCTGATTTCATGTCTTTTGGTCTTGGTGACTGATACTAGGTGTGTCTGAAATGCTGCTTCCTCACTGAGTACTTGTTCTTCATCATTTATTGAAGCATTCTTTTCTCCACACATTACCACATAAAGTTCTCAGTTGTTCTGTTCTCACTGAAGAGCAAGACATATGAGGAAAAATGTGAAAAGAAACAGATGGATGGATGGCACACCACTAAGGTAAAACATTTCTACCATATAATCACAGTCATTTCAACCAAAGCTACATCCAATTAAGTAGCTTTTTAAAAATACTCCAGAGAGTGAATTCCATGGCAGTGCAGTGATTAGGACTTGGCTTTCACTGCCGAGGTCTGGGCTCCATCCTGGTGGAGGAACTAAGATCCTGCAAGCCACGCACTGTGGCCAAAAGAAAAGCATGATCTGATTTACATTTCTAGAATATTATTCTGGGGGCTCTCTGGAGAATATATTTGGTGATAGGGAGAGAGGAATAGTCATGAGAGTAGAAAAAACAAGATCAGTTAGTAGGCTACTGCAAAAATTCCAAGAGAAGGAGAGAGATATCTTGGATAAGGGTGGGAAAAGTAGGAATGGGGAACAGTAGATGAACTCAAATACTTAGGAGGTAGATTCAGCAAGACTTGAAAACAGATTAGATGTGGGAAGCAAGTGAGGAAAAGGACACTAAAAAATGGCTCCAATCTTTCTAGGTTATATACAGAGCAAATGGTGATACTTTTTTTTCTCTTTTTTATATACTGAAATGGAACACATTCTCATTCTGGGTTATATACCTTAAGGACAGACAGAACTACATCTAATAATCATATCCTCAGCAACTAGTAACATGTCTGGCATACAAAGAGCACTCAATATATATTTGCTGCATGTATATACAAATATATAATGAAACAAATGAATAAACCCGAAGCACTATAAAGTACTGAATAAATAATTATAATGAAAATCAAAAGTAAGAAAATTCATACCGAACTGGAGTCTGTGGAAGAATCACATTCACCTCTTCATCAGGGTTACTTTTTCGTGGTGTTCTCTGCATTTCAAAACTAAATAATGATAAGCAAAGTCATTCAGACTGAAAACTTACAACTTGTGATTTATGAGTCAAAAAAGCAGTAAAGTACCTTCTGTTGACTCATAACATCATACAAAATGGTTAAGTAAATAATAGAAGTGATAGGAAATAGATGATCCAGAAGCTGCTTAAATAAATAAAATTTTATTTTTTTGTCATAATTTTTAAGTTGGGTTTCTTTCCACTAGGTTTACAACAAACGGTGTACCAATCACTAAGAATTTTTTTGAAAATGAAAGTTAGATGTTTGTTTTCTCTAGAATGTTAGATGTTGATGATATTACTAGCAAGGTTGTTCAGTATCAAAAAATATCAAAACTCAAGTTTTTCAAACATTACGCCTTCCAAAAACTTTACTTTGACTTAAATAAAATCTGAAACATTTTATTTGTGTTTAACTTCCAAATTTTATATATATACATAATTTTTTAGTTAATATTAAAAGATTTCATGCTAAAGACTTAAAATTAACCACACTTACAATCATTCAAAAATTTTTTACAGGCGTATCTCATTTTATTGCACTTTGCTTTACTGTGCTTCAGAGATACTGTGTTTTATTACATATTGAAGGGTTGTAAACTCTGCATTGTCATATGATGGTTATCATTTTTTAGAAATAAGGTATTTCTAAATTAAGGTATGTACACTGTTTTTTGGATATAATGCTATTGCACACTTAACAGAGTACAGTACATTGTAAACATAACTTTTACACGCACTCGGAAACCAAAAAGTTTGCGTGATTTGCTTTATTGCAATGGCCTGGAACGGAAAACACAATATCTCACAGGTGCCTGTAGTTACCGTCAACCATTCCTACTTTAGGATTCTATATGACAATTCAAGAGAATACAATTTTATACTAACTTTTTAAAAAATGAACCAGCATATCAACAAATAATAATATATCATGTATAATACCTGTCTGTAGGATCAGCCTGAAGAGTTTTATCATGATCCAGAAATAATCTTGCATCTATATCTTTGTTTTTAAGGTAAATTTCTTCATATTGTTTAGAGAGACTTTCCACCTCAAAGGCAAAAAATATTGATGATTATCCTTTTCATGTCATTACTTTTCAGTACACAGAAATACATATTTAATTCAAGAATCTTCGTAAAAATATACACTTAATTTTACACTATACAGACTTCACATGGAATATAAATAAGGCATATCTAAAAGTAAAGAAAATTGCAAATTTTTTCAACTCAATTTTAAACCTATTTTATGCACATATCTCACATAGACAAGGATCACCAATGCTATAGAACAGTACTGAAATGGAACTGTAAGATGAAAAGACATTACTATAACCACTTAATTGCCGAGATCCTCCATCCTATACATCACTCACTTTTAATCTTCTACTACACTTATCAATATAAAATAATTTTTCAAACACTGTAACAGACCTTTATTATGTATTCTGCCTATCTTTTCTAAATCCTTTGGTTCACTCTGACTCCCTTCAGTTACGTATCTTGGGCAAGAGTATAAGCTCAATTAATTAGCCCAATTAACATACTTGCACAATTTATTTCCAATCTTAGACACTTTTCCAAATGCTACAAACTATAATTCTTTTATCAGTTCTGATTCATAATTTTCTAATCATAATATAAAAACCAATGCCCAGTAGAAAACCATTTAGCAGCCTTCTCCTGTGACTTCTGTGTATGTGTGTGTGTGTGTGTGTGTGTGGTACGCGGGCCTCTCACTGTTGTGGCCTCTCCCGTTGCGGAGCACAGGCTCCGGACGCGCAGGCTCAGTGGCCATGCCTCATGGACCCAGCGGCTCCGCGGCACGTGGGATCTTCCCGGACTGGGGCATGAACCCGTGTCCCCTGCATCGGCAGGTGGACTCTCAACCACTGCGCCACCAGGGAAGCCCTCCTGTGACTTTTAAAGCCAGAGTGTTTCCAACCTGAGAGAGTTAAAATTGCATTCTAAAAGGAGTGGTAGGAAAAAATCCAGTTAAATGTAAACTTTTTGTTTGTTTGCATAAGTTTTTTAGGCCGATCAGCCATTCATGTTTGATTAGGCTTAATCGTCATTCCTGCCCTATGTCAGTTAGGTATTAATTATCAATCATTTATTGACTGGCAGCTATTAGTGCTATATAATGTAAAGTTTATCTTGAATTTTCTAATAATAACCCTGTAATTCTTTCAGAGGGAAAAAAATTATGAATGTCCAAGATTCTTTAGAGTTGTAAACAGCATATTTTTTGGTATATAAGTTGGTAACAGAACTCAGAAATACAACTTTTGGCCCCTTCTTGTTTCTTTAGTACCATGTCTTACCACTCACTCTACAGAACAGACCATACTACCACATATCACTGTGCCTTTAAATCTATAATTTCCAACCCCTGGAAATGCCACTTCTTATAAATCTTACTCAGCTCAGAAATCACATCACCTCCAAAGAATTTTCTGCAAAACCTATCTGGCCCACTTTGGATTAGGGAGATATCACAACACCCTGTGTACACATCTAATAGACTTCTGTAGACTCCTGTTAATGTTCTACTTCTATGTCCGTCTCTTCCACTAGCACCTTAATGACAATGACTGTGAGTTAAATCTCTGCATTGATGATATCTAGCACAATGCCTGGCATATATTAAGCACTCACTAAATAACTGCTGAATGAATAAGTTAGTTAATTCAAGGAGGACTAGCTACCAACTCAGGCCATAAAATCAGCAATCTAGCTCTCTGATTTCATGTCTTTTGGTCTTGGTGACTGATACTAGGTGTGTCTGAAATGCTGCTTCCTCACTGAGTACTTGTTCTTCATCATTTATTGAAGCATTCTTTTCTCCACACATTACCACATAAAGTTCTCAGTTGTTCTGTTCTCACTGAAGAGCAAGACATATGAGGAAAAATGTGAAAAGAAACAGATGGATGGATGGCACACCACTAAGGTAAAACATTTCTACCATATAATCACAGTAATTTCAACCAAAGCTACATCCAATTAAGTAGCTTTTTAAACATACTCCAAAGAGTGAATTCCATGGCAGTGCAGTGATTAGGACTTGGCTTTCACTGCCGGGGCCTGGGTTCCATCCTGGTGGAGGAACTAAGATCCTGCAAGCCACGTGCTGCGGCCAAAAACAAAAGCCTCAAAAGAGTTGCTCCAAGTACAGTAATGCTAATAATGTTGATGGTACAAATCATGGCTCCTATGCTTAAAGAAGCATAGCAAAGTAAATTAGAATCAAATTTGATTATAGATATTTACTTCTATTTAAATATTTAATGGCATTTAGAAGTCCAAAAGCCTACATCCTGATTTTTGAAAAATGTTAGTACAAATCAACTTCTAGTGCAAATTTTTAAATGCTGCTTATTTATACATTTGAGCATAAATGGGTTCAAAAGGGGTTTTTTCTACTATATAAAGTTGATTCACCACAATTCTACTTAGATTCTTTCCTTGAGTAAAAAATATTTAATATACAGTAAAGTGATCTTAAGAAATTTAGGCAACTATTCCTGCCTCGCTAAAGTCCCGAAACACATTAATTTTTTATTACGTTTTCTTTCAGATTACCTCTGGAAGTCCGTTAGAAGCTACAATTCCAAGAGAATTCATAAAAGGTATAAAATTTTTGAAATAAACATTTTTCACCTGAAAAAGATAAAGTTACATGATAATTAAAATAAAAAAAAACAATCTCTGTCACTATTAACGGTAGAATGAAAGTGTTAACTGACATTTTGATCAATGAGTTACATTCAACCCAGTGTGATGCTTATTTATAATTATTCAATTTATTCACTTTTTAATTCATGTGAGGCAGATTTCAGGTCCTAAAATGGAGGTGCAGGGGGGAATTGTTAATGAAATGGGATTTATAAGAAGAAAATCCATCGAAACCAACTTCAATATCCCACATTTAACAAATGGTGAAAACATGGGAGGCTCAAAAATATTAAGCAACTTCACCAAAGTTACACAGCTAGGAAGTGGCAGAGCTGGAACTGAAAACCAATCTGTCTAGCATCAAAGCCAAGACTCTTTTAACGTCTCTACACTGCCTCTGATTTCTCCCCAAAGCATATTTTTGGGCCACTTCACACACATACCTAGCTTAGGGAATATCGAGTAAATTATTTCAGGATAAATTTAGGAAAATGACCTGCTTTTATAAGAAGATAATTTCACATACAAATACCCAACAATTCTATTCAAAACCGAGTGAAAATGTTTTGGTCATTATGCAGTTTCACACAAAAAACCCTACATTTAACATGGATAATAAAGACAGTCCTTGGAAAACCTGGAGTTATAATATACCCCTAACTATTTTACACTGGCAAAGTGTTATGGAATTTTAAACAACTTACTTTTCTTCATTTAACTTCCTTTTCCAATTTGCAGTCTACATTTATTAAGGTAGAATAATTTAATATCTTCCTATTAATAAGTTCCTATCTTCTGCTTCACAAAAATGCTTTAAGAATTAAGCTTCTGTAATACATATTAGTATTGTTTTCTAATTAATTCCCACTGAACTGGAATAATTATAAGGTGGGTAGTTCTATTTAACCAATTAGTGTGACTAACCAATAATTATATAACCATAAATATAACTAACCAATAGTTATATAACTATAAATGCTACATGTAAATAATCAAATGTCAAATTAATATGAATTACTGCAAAAGCTATTAATCACCTACACTTTACAAATCGTTATTACATTCTAAATTATAGAAGCATTATTTAAAATAAAAAGGAAAAACATGATTTATTCCTGATTTTTGAAATGCAATTTTATAAGTAGTTCTAAAATACAGAGAACTAACAACCAGGAATTAGAAAACTGCATTTATTCCTATTCATTACCTTGAGAGAGTAAGCAACAGACTGGAGTAAAAAAAAATATTTCAACTACATTTGTCAGCTTATTAGCAAAGATAATTTGTTATTCTAGAAAAGTAAATATATTACATGTGTAAAGTTGATACAGCTATATGTCTATATCTATATATTTGTTAAAATTAATAAAAGCCACAGTGCTAAAACCCAGATATCTTGATAAATCATTCCAACACTTCTTAAACTAGATTTTGAGAGCATACCCCCAATTCCTTCCCAGAGTTGACAGAGCAATTTCAAAGATGCAACATTTCACATAGCTATCTAGTGGTAGTGAATTTTGGACAATATAACAGTCTATGAGAGAAAGAGCACGGCACAGTGAAAGAAGCACTGGTAGCAGATGGTCCAAAGCATAGACTCTGTTAGTAATCAGCTATCAGTCTCTAGAAGCTTGTTTATTCATTAGTAAAAGGAGGCCAAGTACATTACTTGTTAAGATTCCTTCCAATTCTAACATTCCAGATTTTATTAACAAGATAAGCAATTCCTGGGTGTTCATGTATCCTCTACCAGTCATTAACATCTGGTGTGATATTTAGAAAAAGAGTAACTACAGAAGGCTAAACAGAAACTTAATGTTGGTATCACTTAGCACTAAACCAAAACACTAGGGTTTTCTGAACAGGATACTTGAAAACATTAGGTATATCAGTAACCACAGAGGAATCAAAGAACAAATACATTTGAAAACTATTGCCTTAATCATGTACATTTCAATGATTCCAGAGTGAGGGAGCTATTCTCTTTAAAATCAAAGTAACTGAATAGGAAAATTAAACTTTTTCTAAATATTTTGCTACTGCAAAAGAGTTGGCACTAATTACAAAAAGCAAGCTCATCATAAAAGAATTAAATACTGTTAGGAAAACTTACATCTAAATCTACTTTAACTATTTTAAAGAAATCATGAAGTTAAATTACCTCATCTATATTACATTCATGTTCTTTACAGAGAACTTCAATAATTCTTGTATCATTTTCTAGTTGTTTTGCTATCCGTGCACTCCTGTTCTGACCTCGCCTTGGTGTTCGAGGTGAACCATTAATAGGTATTACAGCTGTTTCTGTAAAAATGGTAAATTAGATAAGAACAATTGCACATTCCACTGTATAAAATAATGAAGTATTCTAATTATAACTCGGAAGGTCAGAAATAATCTTGGTAACATTCTGCTACTTTTATTATTAGGCTTCATTAAAAAGCTAACAGCTTTATTTATTGAATATCTACTGTAAGTTATATACTGGTAATAGCTGCTACCATCCCTATTCTCTTCTGCCCCCAACTAGCCCAAAAAGAAATTTAAAACCCCACAGACAAATATGAAAAATGCAAGGGAAATAGCCAACTTATAAACTAATATTAAGTGTATCCTACTAGTCTGCAAGGGGAAAAAATGTTTTCTATCTTAAAAGAGTCTTAAAAATAATAAGCATGTATTTATGGATTCAATTTGTAGATACAGGATAAAAAATAAATTTTTTAAAGTTTTAGCAAATAAATTACGATGCTTTTAAAAAATTAAGCATACAAATATACTCATGTGACACTAAACTGTAATCCCCTGGATTATTTTGAGCATTTCAATTCAAACTGAATGTGAATATAGCTATTAAAGAGATTACAGATGACTAAGTATAAAAAGTATTAACTGCCTCTAGGCCCAACAAACAACTTACAGGAAACTGACAGGATAGAGGAACATGTTAAGACTACACCATAGGATGCAATCACTAAAAATTAAACCATGGAAAACTCGACAGAACAAGACCACCTGATTATTTAATAAATAAATTACAAGAAAAAAAGAGAAAGATAGATGGAGGAGGAACTTTTTAAGTCTTAAAAGCATACCAACCAATCACAAAGTAGAGATCTTATTTAGATTCTAATTTAGTCAACATGTAAAATTTTTTTAATTACTTTTATAAAACAATTGAAAATATGAACACTTACTAGATATTTGGTGGAATTAAAGAATCACTATTAATTGATTTTTAGGTGTGAGAATGGTACTGTCATTATGCTTTTTTAAAAGACTTTATCTTTCAGAGATACATACTGAAATTTATAGGGATGAAATGGTATGCAAAAGTGTGCTTCAAAATAATATCGCTGGTAGAATTGAGCAGTAGATATGACTATGGGTTGACCATAAGTTATGCATTGAGGGCAGGTGATAAGTACATGGAAGCTTATTATACGACTTTCTTCTTTTATGCTCACTGAAATTCTTCATAATAAAAAGCTAATTGCAAGTTTACCATAGCCAGTTAATTCAACACCTTATCCTGCTTTCTTTTTAACATGGCACTTACAGAATTAAATGTACATTTGAATTATCCAAAAGAACAAAGGCTGTCAACCTAAAGTTATATATCAACTTATTAAAGTTATAACATTTTTAAAAAGTGAGGAAAAGGCATACAAAGGAAACTTTTAAAGATTCAGAAATTTTTAAAATATATTGTTTTACATTTTTCCCCTCTATTTTGCATGTGGTTTCTGCTAAATGACCTGCCTTTTCTGTCAAGCCATGTTCAACATCTTTTCAAAATTCTGCTTCATTTTTCCAGGAAGTTATTGTTCACGAAGATTAATCAGGCTTCAGCTTTTCAGCCACTTCAACACTTTGAGGCTTCCATGTTTTGATCTTTCCTCTATTATTTTTAGTATTATTAATACTGTCAACATTTTAGGAGCAAGGAACAAGCTAAGCCTTAGTTAAGTTTACATTTCTCTATAGTGTATTAAGTGATTTTAAATCCTACTCTACATGCCACCAAAGGGAGCAATTCCATTCTAAGAGGATTATACTTGTCTTTGCTTAATGCTATCTAATTATTTCAGCAATAGTTATTATTTAAATACACCTCCCATCTCATCACCCACTGAAATGGATCAATTACAGTTCATATGCAAAAAAAAAATCAGTCACATAATCATTATAGCTTCCAATAATAAAAATTCAGTTAATCCATTCCTATAGAATGGGTTACTCTTCCCTGTGCAGTCTCATTCATATCTATGCCTTGCCTCTTGATTTTCTATTTACTGGGAGTGCAGTCTCCCAACTTACCACAACACTCAAACCCTAACTACTGCTTCAACACTCAGTTCAAATGCCACCACTTTTTTATGGTCTTCCTTGGTCTTTCCCAGCTGGAAAAACTTTCTCATCTCCTCAACTCCCATGGTATTTGCTATATTTTGGCCCAGACTATTTTCAACCATATACTCTAATTACTTGCTTACTTATCTCTCCTTCTATATCTTATATTACTTAAGGGCAGAACCCATGTCTGATTTCTTTTTTATTATTCCCTTGGCTCTAGAACCATGTTTTGGATCTAGTGTAAGTCCATAAAAAAATGTTGAATGATGAAGTAAGAGGGGCATAAATTACTTAAAATACTTACTGTATGGTTCTTTGAGTAATGTGGGAGGTGAGAGTTTGATAAAATAGTCAAGGACACACAGCATTAACTGAAATGAGATCACCAGATCATCTTCCATTTGTAAAACTTGCCCTGAAAACAAAGAAGGTCCACATCTTAAAGGTAGAGATTGAGGTCTTTAAGTCAGGGAAAACTGTGGGTATGGCTGTATCCATATACTCATTTATGCAACAATCACTAGAAGCATGTTAAAGATCTTTGTTTTTGTTCTTTTGCAAAAATTCAGTCAGATTTGCAACATGTAAAAATATATAAAGTTATAAAATTATAAATGGGGACTTCCTGGTGGCACAATGGTTAAGAATCCGCCTGCCAATGCAGGGAACATGGGTTCAAGCCCTGGTCTGGGAAGATCCCATATGCTGTGGAGCAACTAAGCCCATGTGCCACAACTACAGAGCCTGTGCTCTAGAGCCCGTGAGCCACAACTACTGAGCCCGCCTGCCACAACTACTGAAGCCCATGTGCCTAGAGCCTGTGCTCCACAACGAAAAGCCACTGCAATGAGAAGCCAGCACACCACAACGAAGAGTAGCCCTCGCTCACTGCAACTAGAGAAAGCCCACACAACAAAGACCCAATGCAGCCAAAAATAAATAAATAAATAAAATAAATTTACTAAAAAAAATTATGAATGAAGTATAAGTCTACCATGAGAATCTTACATTTAGGTATTATTATAATAATTCAGTCCCTATGTCTAAATTTATTTTGATTTTTCCTTCTTTAAACTCACTTCCAGTTTTGGTAAGAGTTATAAAATTTACTACCTCTGAAAATCATTTTGAAGAATGATACACGTTAGTGTTCAGTTCTATTTATTTATGAAACCTCATATATTTTCAATTTCAACCCACTCCAAAATATTAAGAAATAACCAAAGCCATTAAGAAATAATAAAATTAGTACATAATTGTAAAGTCATCTATAAAGCAATTATTTAGCACAAAATCCTAAAAGTTTATACAACATACAACTAAAGAGCTGTATATTTATTATAAAGACCTGTATGTAAGGAAATTAATGCATATAATAAACACCTAAGAAAAAAATAGTGTAGCTACACAAAATATACAAATCATATTGCTATGACGTATTTGCTTATAGCTCTATGTTGTGCAGTATTTTTAAAAGAGAAGTTTAATTTGATTCATTTTCTATTTTATTGGTATTTGACTGCTAAACCACTAATAATCCCAATACTGAAGGTATAAAAACTTTCTGGTTAATGTATTAAATCTCAAATTTTAAAAAAAGGAATTCTTCAAATATTCAAGGAACAAAATGGGGGGCAGTAAATTAAGCTAGTCTCAGATTTCTCAACAGCAATGTTCAATTCCAGAATATAGTGTCCTGAGGAAAAAAAAGCAAGAACAGACTACTCGGGTTCCCTGGTGGCGCAGTGGTTGAGAGTCCGCCTGCCGATGCAGGGGACGCGGGTTCGTGCCCCGGTCCGGGAAGGTCCCGCGTGCCGCAGAGCGGCTGGGCCCATGAGCCATGGCCGCTGAGCCTGCGCGTCCGGAGCCTGTGCTCCGCAACGGGAGAGGCCACAGCAGTGAGAGGCCCACGTACCACACACACACACAAAAACCCCCAGAATACTCAACGAAGTTGTCCTTCAAGTCTACAGACTACAGACATGGTTCATAAACATGTCAAACAGAGAAAACATGGCGCCAAAAAGGCATTTTTGAAAAACTCCTTCACCGTAAAATCTAGTCAGCTAAGGATAGACCAAAATAAAGAATTCGGAAATGGAGAAGCTATGATACAGGAGTGACAATAAGCTTAGAATCCATTTTAAATACACAAATGAGACAAAACAACTGTGATAATTATAATTACAGAACAGAATATAAATATTATAATCTTTGGTAATGTAATGATAACAAAAAATAAGCAAATCTGAAAGTAGGGAATAGGAAGGTGACAGGAAGAGTGAGAATTCTTTTTCTTCAGAGCAGATTAATATACATTGCCTTAACTCAAAACACAAAGTTAAATAAAGATTCTAACCTCTTAATGTTTTCATAATCTTAGAGAAATATTTTAAGAAATAACACTGCTTAAGTGACAAAACATATAAATTTAAGCAATTCCTTCCATTTCTCTTATTTTCTTCCATAAAATTTTAGTAAAATTAGTTTTTATATTTTAAACATAGCACAATAATATATTATTTTTAGAAACTTATATATATGTTTGTGAGTGCACTCATCCACCCACCTTTTTTAATCAGAATGTTACTCCAGATACATTTTTGTGCATACAACCACATAATTTTAATGATGATTATTTCTAGGCGGGTTTTGGATAATTTTTCTACATTTTTCTTTGCGCTTTGCTGTATTATATGCATTCTTTATCATGAATATATATCACTTTTATAAAAACAGTAACATTATTCTTAAAAATAGGAAAGAATGAAAAATATTAGAAAAAGAAATGAAATGAGACATTTTCAAGGTTGCCTCCAGTATCAGAATTACAAGAACTTGATAACAGTTAAAAAGTCACACAGGGCTTCCCTGGTGGCGCAGTGGTTGAGAGTCTGCCTGCCGATGCAGGGGACACTGGTTCGTGTCCCGGTCCGGGAAGATCCCACATGCTGCGGAGCGGCTGGGCCCGTGAGCCATGGCCGCTGAGCCTGTGCGTCCGGAGCCTGTGCGTCCGGAGCCTGTGCTCCGCAATGGGAGAGGCCACAACAGTGAGAGGCCCGCGACACGTTCATAATAAGACGCTACCGGTTGAGCATTTGTTTAAAATTCGCTATTCTCAGTGTGCTTTTCTGAGACCTGGATTAGAAGAGCAGGAAAAGAAAAAAAAAAAAAAAAAAAGGTTGAGGTAAATTTAACGTTATGTATACCTCACCACTAAAAAAAAAAAAAAGTCACACAAAGAACTAGGGGGAAGGAGGAACAATATTAAATAGAATTAAAATTTTGAGCTTACTCGAAAGAATTATCAATTACTACATTTGAAACATTAGTATGTAACAAACATAATGACTTTACCTTTAGCTAGTAAAAACGTGAGCCAAGAAACTTTTAGCACCAACATAGAATTTATTTCCGTAGATATCCTAATAAACAAATAGAAGAAAAAAAAACTCACACTGTTTTCCCACTACACCTTTTTTTTTCACTTTTTACAATTATAGACCAGAATTGATCGCATAATAGAATACAGTCCATCTTAATTGCACAATTTACACATGAATTCAATTTGTCTCAATTCAGTTAGTGTTTTCATCATGTTATTTATATTTTCCCAAAGTAGTATACATTTTTTAAAGAAAATATTGAATATCTTCTACTGTAATCTAAAAATATGCACAGAAAGTGGTATAATATGACATACATGGTTTCCAATTAATGCTTTTCTGCTCTCTTTTCTAATTAAAATCAATTTTCTGTAAGCAGAAAAATAGAGGTTTGGGTGACTCTACCAAATTAACACTATGTCTTCATAAACGTTAAGTTATTCACTTGTTGGAATTAATGAGTGGAATTAATAGAGTTAATTAATACACAATTTCCCTTTGTATCAATCATCTTCAGTATTATTACTTCAATGAGGCAGAAAATCTCACATACTACTCATTCTGTTTCCGAAGAAAAACTCTAGAGCTCTTACAGTGGTATACTGTTGGAACATGTATCATGCATTTAAAAAGACTACTTGGAAATTTTAATATAGACGTTCATGTTTATTCTTACTCAAAAGTTATGCTCTGAGTCTTAGTTAATAAAATGTCTATAATATACTCTGAAAAAAGATTTTGTCAATGAATTGGCATTTTTCCCAGAGCTGGTAAAATGTTGCTCTGAATTAACTTCGACCTTATTAGTTCTCCCTTGTAGTAAAAGGCATGTATTTCATACCACTTTCTTTGTGAAAAGATAAATAATCCGTATAGGGCTTAAATCTATGACCTTAATTTATGAAGTATCATAGAACAGTCAATCAAACTAACCCTGAAACTATCAACATGTTTGGGATTTTTCCACAAAAATCTCAAAAAAAAAAACCCCAAAAGTGAAAAATAACATACTCTGAGGTACTTACGAACTGCTGGGTTGTGACAAATATATAAGTTCACATGTTCTGAAAGGAAGAAATAATTATGTTAACATTATGGCTTTTTTAAAAGTTACTTTTAAATTTTTTTCATAATTTAGAAATCAGTTTTATCATGATTTATTCATCTTATTTTAAGAAGGATACATTTTTTCTCAAGTACAGCATTATAAAACAAAGTTAAAGTAGATGTTTCCAATTTATGACATTTCACATATCACTGTAATATCTAATTACAAAAAGACTGGATTCGATATATGCATTTCTAACTTGGAATACATTCTATAATTGAAACTTGATCTGGTTAGAATCTCAGATCAGGTCATAAAAGCTTATTTAACTAATAGTGTCACTGAAATAACACAACTGAAAGTACTACAGTAAGTCCCCTATAGACGAACCTTCAAGTTGCAAACTTTCAAGTTGCAAACTTTCAAAGATGTGAACGTGAGTTTACACGTCTGATCATGTAAGTTAGTTCACATGTCTGGTGTACACTGTCACCTGTGTGCATCCTCTACAAGTGGTTGTGCTTTGTGTACTTTACTGTACAGTACTGTATAGAGTACAGTAGTACAGTATCTTTATTTCAAGGCCAGGATGTCTGGAAGCAAGCGTAAAAGTAGCAGTGATGTAGCTGGTACTACTGTACTTTTCAAGGTACTGTACTGTAAGATTAAAAATGTTTTCTTTATTTTTTTGTGTTTATTTTTTATGTATTATTTGTGTGAAAAGTATTATAAACCTTTTACAGTACAGTACTATGTAGCCAATTGTGTTAGTTGGGTACCTAGGCTAACTTTGCTGGACTTTACGAACAAATTGGACTTACGAACATGCTCTCGGAATGGAACTCATTCATATGAGGGGACTTACTGTATAAAACCTACCTATTTAGGACAATGACTTCTGGAATGGTGGAGAAGGTTCTCTGCAGACCTGTTTCCTAATGTAATAACTACAATTGATAAAACTATTTTTAAAAAACCATTTAAAGTCTCTGGAAATTTTCCTAAGGGCATACAACAAAAAAAGGAAATATTTCTTCAAGAAAATCTACTAAATCTTGGTAAGAACAATGACAGTCTGTAGAATTCAAAGCAAAATTCATTTCCTCCTCCTCTCCAGCTCAGCATAACAAAGCTCTACCCCTGGCAGGTGTAGCCAAGACACAGGGCTCTTCTCTCTCCAGCTCCCAGCCTAGAACTATCTCTCTGGGAAGAGTAGGCTCCCAGCATTTCTCATTGCCCCCACATCTGTGTTGCAGAAAGTCTATCCCAAGCAAGAGGAGCTGAGAGGTCTGGGGCTCCTGTCTTCCGCTTAGCCGCCATTCATAGGGTAAAGTTTTACTCCAGGCACAGAGCACATCAAAAATACTGACTTCTCTTGCTGAGCAGCTCATAGGACAGAGGTTCCAGCCAAGAAAGCCAATCTGGGAAGACCAGGGGCTATCACCTCTTCTCAGTGCCCTACTCTTAAAACAGAGGTATCACTCCAAGAGAAGAGACCACTGTCCCCATCCTGACCTCTCAAGCAGTGGCACAGAAGTGGTGCCTAGGGGAAAGGCAGGCCCTAAGAACATAGAGCCTTGCACTCTCCCCAAGGGAACTCATTTGGAATGGAGTGTGGGGATGTTTAAGAATAAGAGAACTGTTGAAAGCAATACAGACTTTGGTGGAAGCAAGTAAGAGAAAGCCAACAGATCTTATGAGAGCAAAAAGCTAAATCCTAGATCATCTAGGAGAGAACCAGGGAAAGAAACAGCTAAGAATAGCTCTCCTAGTATCAAAATAAGCCTCAAGGCTAGCCTCAAATACTAGTCCTGCAGAGGGAGCCAAATTTAATTGGATTAGACTGTAAAGCAACTTGTGACCCAGAGCATTGTTAAAAACAATAAAGCAGGACTTCCCTGGTGGTGCAGTGGTTACGAATCCCCTTACCAACGCAGGGGACATGGATTCGAGCCCTGATCCGGGAAGATCCCACATGCCGCGGAGCAACTAAGCCCGTGCGCCACCACTATGGAGCCTGTGCTCTAGAGCCTGCAAGCCATGACTATGAAAGCCCGCGCACCTAGAGCCTGTGCTCCACAACAAGAGAAACCACCGCAATGAGAAGCCTAGGCACTGAAGCGAAGAGTAGACCCCACTCGCTGCAACTAGAGAAAAGCCCGCGTGCAGCCACGAAGACCCAAGGCAGCCAAAAATAAATAAATACATTTATTAAAAAAAACAATAAAGCAATCAGTCGGCAAACAGTGAGAGGTAGCAACTAGGTGTGATATCAACAGAGGCAGTTAGCTTAAGAACAGGGAAAGGATAGTCAAAGAGAACCCAGCTAAAACCACTGTCAGCTCTGAGTGACTATGTACCTGTCCAAGGCTACAATAAGGAGCAAGATCAGAGGCTACACACTGTGGGAGAAAAAGACTCCATTGAGATAGTACAGCTAAGCCACTAAACAAATAACAAAGACAAAACAACAGCAGCAAGCCCCACGAGAGATAAGAATCAGCTCCCAGAGTTACTACAATGTTATAAAAAATGTCCAGTTTTCAAAAATAAATATGAAATATGCAAAGAAGCAGGAAAGTGTCACCTCTACATAGGGAAAAAAGCAGATAACAGTAATTTTATTTAAGAGAACCAAAGTGTCAGACTTAACAAAGACTTCAAAACAGCTATTATAAATATGTTCAAAGGACTAACGGAAATCATGCTTAAAGAAAAAAAGGTACGCTGACAATATCTCAACCAACAGAGGATTATCAATAAAAAGACAGAAATTACTTTAAAAGAACCAAAGGGCAATGTGAGTTGAAAAGTATAATAACCAAAATAAAAAATTCACTAGAGGGACTCAAAAGTAGATCTGAGCTGGCAGAAAAAAAGAAGCACTAAACTTGAAGACAGATCAAAAGAGATTATGTGGTTTAAAGAACAAAGAGATAAAAGAAGAAGAAAAATGAAGAGGCTCACCAAAAAATATACTGGTGTACTTTTGGGACACCAAAAGATACACGAATATATGTGTAATGGGAGTACCAGAAGAGAATGGAGAGAGAGAGGAAAAAAAAATTTTTGTAAATAATGGCTGAAAACTCCCAAGTCTACACATCCAAGAAACAGAACAACCTCCAAGTTGAATAAATGTAAAGAGATTCACACCTAGATATATCATAGGATAAATGCTGAAAGACAAAGAGAAAATCCTGAAAGCAGCAAGAGAAAAATGATCCATCATATATAAGGGAACACAATAACATTAACAGGTGACTTCTCAACAGAAGCAATGAAGATCAGAAGGCAGTGGGATTACATACTCAAAGAAAGAAAAAAAATGTAAACTAAGACTCATATATACAGCAAAACTACCTTTCACAAGTGATGGTGAAATACATAGTCTCAAACAAAAACAGAGAATGTGCAAACTCATCTTATAAAAAAATAGTAAAAGAAGTTCAGGCTGAAAACAAATGACCCAAGACAGTAATTCACATCCACATGAATAAACAAAGAGCACTGGTAAAGGTAATTATGTTATTATGAAAGATGGTATAATTACATATTTCTTCTCCTTTCTTCTCCTAATTGATATAAAATATAATTGTATAACATAATATGTATATATTGTATTCTTGGGCCTCTAACACATGAAATGTAATGTGTTTGACAACAGCAGCACAAAGAGGTGGGTAGGATCAAAGCTGTACTGGAGTAAACACATGACACAAGATGATAAATCCACAGAAACAAATGAAGAGAAGACGAAATGATATATAATAGTTAATATAACAAACTCTATAAATATACACTTGCTCTCCTTTATACTGTCGACTACTTTAAAAGACATACAACCCAAATGACTATAAGTAGATGAATGGATAAATAAAATGTGGTATAGGCATACAATGGAATATTATTCCATAATAAATAGTAATGAAGTATTGAAACACGCTACAACATGGATGAACCATGAAAACATGCTAAGTGAAAGAAGCCAGTCACAAAAAATATGTAGATCAAAAATTTACAGAGAAAACTACTATCTTATATAAAAAAAAAGCAGATGGTAATCAAGAGGGAATTTTTATAATTATAGAAAACATGTTTAATGTCAGATGCATTGTTTTATATCATTTTGTAATTTAATGTAACTCAGAAGAGAATGTTATCATACAGTAAAGATAATGACATACAATATAAATCTATGCTGTCTAATACGTTAACCACAAGCTCCTATGGCTACTGAACACCTGAAATGTTTTTGGCTAGTACAAATGAAGTTGTGCTGTAAATGTAAATTACACACCAAAATATTTAAAAAAATACTTAGTATGAGAAAAAGAATGTAAAACTTCTCTATTGGTTTCATGTTTTTCTGTTGAAATATAATTTACCTAACATAAAATTCATCATTTTAAAGTGTATAAATTCAATAGTTTTTAGTATATTCACTTTGTTATGTAATCATCACCATTATCTAAAATTTCCATCACCCCAAAAAGAAACCCCACATCTTTTAACAGATACTCCTCATACCCTTCACTTCCCATTCCCTAGCAATCACTAACCTATCTTCCATCTCATGGATATGCCTGTTCTGGACATATCATAAAATGAAATATGTGGCCTTTTGTGTCTGGTATTTTTCACTTAGCTTAATGTTTTCAAGGTTCATCCATATTGTAGCAAGTAGCAGAACTTTCTTCCCTTTTATGGCTGAACAATATTCTACCATATGGATAGATCACATTTTGTTTATCTATTCATCAGCTGATGGACATTCAGGGTGTTTCCACTTTTTGGCTATTATAAATAATGCTGCCATGAACATCTGTACACAAATTTATGTGTTGAAGTTTGATATTTTGGGATATATGAGTTAAATAAAATGTTAAAATTAATTTCACTTGTTTCTTTTTACTTGTCACGCAGCTACTAGAATATTTAAAATATATGGCTTGGGCTTCCCTGGTGGCACAGTGGTTAAGAATCTGCCTGCCAATGCAGGGGAGACGGGTTCGAGCCCTGGTCCGGGAAGATCCCACATGCCACGGAGCAACTAAGCCCGTGCGCCACCACTACGGAGCCTGTGCTCTAGAGCCTGCAAGCCATGACTACGAAAGCCCGCGCACCTAGAGCCTGTGCTCCACAGCAAGAGAAGCCACCGCAATGAGAAGCGTGTGCAGCACAACTAAGAGTAGCCGCCGCTCGCTGCAAGTAGAGAAAGCCGGCGTGCAGCAACGAAGACCCAACAGAGCCAAAAATAATAAATAAATATATATATATATATGGCTTGCATTTTTATATTTCTATGTGACAGCATTAATGTCGTTAATCATAGCTTTAAAAGCTACTGTTTATTTAGCATTTAGTATGTGCTAGGACGTGAGCTAACCAGTAACATTATCTTACAATTACTCTGCAAGGAGAGCATTACTAGCTATATTTTACAGATTCAAATTGAGGTTTAAAGACGTTAAGTACGTTTCCCTAGCTCACACAGTCAATGAATTACAAAATTATTATTAATATCTAGATCTGTTTAGCTTTTTAAAAGTCATCATAATCACTACAGCACATTGCCATATATACACATATAGTCTACCCTGAAATAAATAGGCTTTAGTATCACAGTTAATCTTCCCAACTGCTCTTCAAAAGAAGGTACATATAAGATAGAAGAAATCCTATTGATCTACTTCAAGGCCAATATACACTAAATTATCTCATATAACTAGTCAATAAAAATTCCAAATCTCTTTTGCAAAGGCCTGAGTGACCTTTTAAAGGCCAAATCTGACTATGTCACTCCCTAGCTTAAAATCAATGACTCTCCATCTCCTGCTGGGTAAAGTCCAAGCTCACTATCAGTCTAATTCCCTCCTACCTTTTAGCCATTAACAATATCAAAATACTTTACAGTACTGCTCTGGCTTTGCACACATGCTAATCACTCGGCCTAGGATACTCAGTCCCAGTCTCCACATATTTTGCCTGCTGAGTTTCTATCTATCCTTTAAACCCTACTCAGACATTGCCTTCTTCTATAGTTTTTTCACCCCATAATTATTCTTCTTACCTTTAAACATACACAGTATTTTGCCCACTACATAATTTCTACTTCTTACAAATAATCCTCTGCAGTAGTGCATCAAATCATTATTGCACTTATTTTTATTAAAAGATAGAATTTATTTATTTACTATAAGCTAATTGACGATCATAGTATCATATGATTTTACATCCCTAGCATCTAACACATAGCGGGTACTAACAGTCACTTCATTAATGCTTGTTGTAGTTTCTTAATTTATGTGGAATAAAACAGAAGTTTCTTAAAGGATATTCCACAAAAAAACTACTTCTTCTAAACCACCATGGAGAATACAGGTCATGGCTCAGTAGTATAGGTCACATACACCTTCCAGTGCCAACATGCTTTCTTTTTCTAAACACAGTATCACCATTAGGAAGAATTTTAAATTTAGGTCACCCTTCCATTCAGAGCTACAAGTCTTCTGGCAGAGAAGGCTAAAGTGGAAACCAGCTTTAAGTTTGTTAAAAAAAAAATGAGAACCATGAGTAAAACAAGTAATTTTGGAAGAAACATTCAGCATGAATATGATTGGACAAATAAGAAAGTTAAGAATATTAAGGGGACAGGGCTTCCCTGGTGGCGCAGTGGTTGAGAGTCTGCCTGCCGATGCAGGGGACACGGGTTCGTGCCCCGGTCCAGGAGGATCCCGCATGCCGCGGAGCAGCTGGGCCCGTGAGCCATGGCCGCTGGGCCTGCACGTCCGGAGCCTGTGCTCCGCAACGGGAGAGGCCACAGCAGTGAGAGGCCCGTGTACCACAAAAAAAAAAAAAAAAAAAAGAATATTAAGGGGACAAATCTAAGGTGTAATACTTAATAACTTTACTAAGAATGTAACAGTTCCCAGAGGGAAACTAATCATGCACAATGATACGAAAAAGCAGGGTGTAACCCTAATAAAATTTGTACTTTACCTTTCTAATTTGCTGTAGAGCGCACACAACACATTATATTTCTTCAACAGTCTTGACATAACATTATCAACTTTGATACTGGTATCGATTTCTTTTAGTAAGTCAAAAAATTTATAGACACTACAAAGGAAAGAATAGAAAAAAGTGAATCCATAACTTTAAAATTTCATTTTGTTTCACTTTCAAAGCATAGACATTTCAATTCAAAACACTTGTTAGCTCTACACCAAATCACTATTATATATCCTTTAGAAGGAACTTAGATTTTTCATTTTACTAGAATTTAAAGAGGAAAAAAATCAACTAGTCTTCAACCTATACCACTATATTTATACACCTATGCCTACATCTACTTATCATCAAGAACACAGAAAAAAAAAATAAGGGTTATAACAGACATATACATATATTTATTTCTGTATCTATCTATATGTTTTAAAATCACAAGTTCACATCCATTTACCCAATTCCAACACAAAAACTACAGGGTTCCTTCCAGTGTTTCCCTTTCCATATTCATAACTCTTCTTTGACAGTGAGAAACCTGGGACCCATTTATCTTTAATTTACTCATTTAATCAGTCCCCCTATATAAGTACCAAGCTACCCACTCCTCCACATGGGCATCTTCCTCTCCAGCTTAGACTGACTCCTCCCATCCTGGACTGCCCTCCCCCCTCCACATGGACACCGTCCTCACCCTAGTAGGGCTCTGACTCCTCACCCCAGACTGCCCTTACCTCACATGTGCCATGACTCCCTATACCAGCTGCCCACACACCCTGCTTGGTCTCTGACATTGCACAGCAAGCAGCCCATGTCAAGAAGCCCCAGGCCCCTGGTAGATGACCTCCTCATCCCACTTTGGCTCTGGCATCCTTCTCTGGGCACCACAGTGCTCCCCACCACAGATGCACACACCTACTTTCTTCAGCCCACCAGCGGTTTTAGGACTGAATTGTTGGGGAAGGGAAAAGGGAAACTGATTAAAAAATTTAAGTTGTTTAAATAATAACTTTAAACCATTGTTTATTGTTTTCTATAAAAATTAACCTATTTGAAATATCAATACATACATTTTTGACTTCCGAAAAATAGGGCACTACAGATAGCAATCATCAACTGCACCTTACATACTCATTTCTAATCAAATTTGTCTAAGGAGTTATACCAAAGCAGCTAACTGAACTACAGGGTAGTCACTAGACCCATCCATAGGCTGTCTAGCAACCAGTGAGTTACAGGCTTCATTCCAAAAAGAGGGCTGTACCACCCAGACAGTTATCTTGGGAACTGGAAAAATAAAGGCCTCAGTTAATCAGCAGAGGGCACAGAACACAAAAGAAGGTTATGAAAAGTTCCACTGATATAGAAGGGATTGGGGCAGCCATGACAAGCTTTGAGGGAAAGCAAACAAAGGAGGAATAGAAATGATACAGAGTAGATAATCATGATGCTGCTTAGAAAAGAAAAAGAATGGGCACTTCCCTGGTGGCGCAGTGGTTTAAGAATCCACCTGCCAACGCAGGGGACACGGGTTCAAGCCTCAGTCCAGGAAGATCCCACACGCCACAGAGCAACCAAGCCCGCACGCCACAACTACTGAAGCCTGTGCATCTAGAGACCGTGCTCCACAACAAGAGAAGCCACAGCAATGAGACGCCCGCACACTGCAATGAAGAGTAGCCCCTGCTAGATGCAACTAGAGAAAGCCCACACGCAGCAACGAAGACTCAGTGCAACCAAAACTAAATACATAAAAATCGATCCTTTAAAAAAAGAAAAAGAATGGAGCTAACCTGCTGAGAAAAAGAAATCAAACTTAGAACAGCATTTATTCAGGAACCACTCTCACTTCCAGTTTTGAGATATATGCCAATACCTATCCATGGAGCACCATGAAAACTGTGAATTGTTACTAAAAAGCCTTTTTCAAAGGGTAACTTAAGTGAGTCTCTATTCCTTCCGTAGTCCTCTTCTGAAGGAAAGAAGTGAAGGCAGGAAGGTGAGAGGAAGGCAGGCAGACAGGCATAAAAAGCCATAATTAAAACACACAGATCTGTAGATAACTACATATTCTAGGTGCAGTGCTCCACGGATTGATAATGGTCCATAAACTGTTTACCAGTCCACAATTAAGTACAGAAATTGGGGGTAAACACTTAAAAACTTTTATGGCAATTTGACACTAATTTTAATGCCTGCTGAATCCAATAATAAAAAATTTAGTCCTGTGTTTAGTATGATTTTTGTTTCATTTTTCTAGTAATTAATTTACTTATTTTTAAAACATCAGTCTATGACATACTGGGAAGAAAAGAAACTAGCCCTTCACCAGAGTACTTTTAAGAAGCAGTGGTTTAGATAACATTCCTAGATAGTTATCAGAACACTGAGAGATGCCCTAAGAAAAAGTTGTACCAAATACATTACTATAATTATTGTAGTGATATTATTTATGATATGCCCATTTTATAAATCAGAGTTACTCTATGAATACTCAGAGAAAAAGTTTAGGAAAATCTTTTCCAGGAAAATTCTTTCACCTTATACATAAAGGATGTAATAGACTTTCTCTGTCATATTTATTTAGCAATCTATGGATAGTTATATAACACTGTATTGCAGTCATCTGTTTAATTTAAACTGGATGAGTTTCTTGAGGTCAGAGACTATATCTCACCTCTATATCATTAGAACTTAGTAGAGTAACACAGCGCCTAGCAGTTGGTAAGTTTTGTTTCCTTCCCCCTTTTTGTTTGGGGCGGGGCGGGTAATAGGAGGAATCTACAGAAAAAAAGAGATCAAGACCTCATCAGCACCTATGGTGTTACAGGTATTGACTCGAGAACTATTTACCTCTCTGCTCGTTATAAGTTATTTAATTCTCAAAATTCTATCAAGTAGTTAATAATTTTTATTTCGCAGGAAAGGAAAGGAACCCGAGACTTAATAAGGATAAGCAATCTGCTCCAAGTCATATAACCTTGTAAAATAAACCCAGTCTATCTTAACCCAAACCTTCATTCTCTTTCTAATCCTCAGAGGTCACGAAAACATATGCTTAATAAATGAATAAATCAACGTAAAATTTTACCTCTATATTTAGATTATTTTTCAGCTATATAAAAACTATTTTGATTTAGTGATTTTAGTTAATAAAGTTAAACTGTGAAATCTCTGAGAGGTAAACCAATTCATATTCAATAAGTTAAATATGAACATATAAGGCCTTTGTTTCCACATTTTATTTAGAGGTAATAAGAAAAAGTTACTAAAACATGCAACAATTTATCTCATTTACACAAAATACCAATTATGTCTAACTCTAGATGGTTTTATCCAAGAAAAAACATATACTACTATCTTTTTGGTAAAATTATTTACTGTTACATTTCATAAACATACTGCAAAAGAAATGACTGGAATTCCCAGAAGGCTTCTCTTGACTTACTGGAAACAGTAAACTCCTCTTATTAGGCTTAGAAACTCAATACAGACTTTAATTAAGTAATTACAGGGACAAGTATTATAATAGACACTCAACTGAACATACAGTCTCAAAACATATATAATTATAATATCTATTATATTAAATAATCTTAAACTTTAAAAAATCAACTAAATTCCTTTAAGATAGACTCATACTACTTTTACAAAGGTTTTAATATATAATAAGTCTACTTCATAAATCTTTGTTTTTTTTGTCCAGTTTATCAACAGCTACAATTAAGAAAGTTTACAGATAGTGGGAGACACAATGGAAATTTTCCCAGGACACAAACTGCTACATTTTTAAGAATGTGCAGCAAAAATACACCTTCATTAAGGGCTCTAATGGAGAACAGGAGTTCACTGGTTGACCTAAGTTTTCTACGTTTTATTTAATTTTAGCATCTCCCACTAATTCCCTAAAGTCTATTAAAATGATAGTTCAGAAATAGTTTTCTTTAATGGAAGAGGCCTATATTAATATAAGAAATTTTACCTGGTTTCAATGTTTTTCTGCAGCTCAGTGAAAGTGAATGGCATCTCATCTAGGTCAACTGCTGCAATAAAGATACAGATTCCCCATAGTTCCTTTTTCTTTTGAACATAACCTTCCTGGAAACAAAACAAGACAAAACAAAACAAAAAGGTTCAAATATTTCATTAAATCATTCACACACTGGATACTGTGTTAAAACTGTATTATATGCAACTTTTTTCTTATTCAGCATAACAAAATTAATTTGTTACTAAATCTTTATGAGGTCATATACTTGAGAGCATTTAATTCTACACTAGTAACAAACAAACTAGTTACAAAATTAGTAACTAAATTTTATACTATAAGGCAAAAAAATTACTAGAAAGGTCAAAAAGTTAAATTACAACTTTCTATAAAAAATCTAGGGGCCAGTCAGTTCTCTGAAGTAAATATTTTCATTTTTCAGTAATCCAATGTCATCAAAGCCAAGTTGAAAGATTTTAGGCTCCATAAAATGGACTCCAAAATTTTTTTTCTTCTAATTCACTTGTTCTTTTATCAATCTATTGATTCAAGTCTTTTTTTTTTTTTAATTTTTAAATTATTTTTATTTTTGGCTGCCTTGGGTCTTTGTTGCTGCGCATGGGCTTTCTCTAGTTGCGGAGAGTGGGGGCTACTCTTCGTTGGGGTGCTCGGTCTTCTCATTGCAGTGGCTTCTCTTGTTGCAGAGCATGGGCTCTAGGGCACGTGTGCTTCAGTAGTTGTGGAACATGGGCTTAGTTGCTCAGCAACATGCGGGATCTTCCCGGACCAGGGCTCGAACCCGTGTCCCCTGCATTGGCAGGTGGATTCTTAACCACTGTGCCACCACGGAAGTCCGGATTCAAGTATTTTTTAACGTTACAAAATTCATATCTCTCAGTGCCCTAATTGCATTCCTTGTAAAATGGAAACACATATTTCACTTTGTAAGAATTAAATGAGATTATATATATAAAGCCCTTAGGTCTGGCATATAACTAATATTCAATGAATGATGGCTACCACTATCATTAGAATATTTTTTCATTATCATTAGAATACTTTTTATCCCGAAAAATACATATCCCTATTTAAATATGTAAGTTTTATAGGTAAAATCTGGATTATATTAAATTGAAAACAAAAGAAATACCAAATAATCTGATGTTCTATCAAACAGCTGGAACTGCTTATTACTCTTAATTGGAGATTACAATGGAGCTGAAAAGTATGTGATGCAATTTTATATTGTTCTGAAATCTCAATTATATAAAAGCTTTAGAAAAAAGAATTATTCTAGATTATCAAATTTTATGGATAATATGAAGCTTATCACTATCCAACTCTAAACTTTTCCTTAATTTTAGCTACTTGGGAAATAAATATTTTAAAACTTATATTACACCCACTAGAATTGTTAAAATTAAAAAGACTAACAATATCAAAGGTTGATAAGGATGTAAAGCAATGGAACACTCAAACATTACTGATGAAAATGTAAAATGGTACAACCATTTTTGAAAAGAAGTCTGGCAAGTTCTTATAGTTATATACCTGCCATAACACTTAGCAATTCCACCCCTAGATATTTATACCCAAGAGAAGTGGAAACTTGGTACCTGAATGTTAACAGCAGCTTCATTCATAAAAAACAAAAACTCAAACAACCCAATATCCAAAAACAGGTGAAGAGATAAACTGTGGTATATCCATTCAATGGAATGTTATTCAACAATAACCACTGTGCCACCACGGAAGTCCGGATTCAAGTATTTTTTAACGTTACAAAATTCATATCTCTCAGTGCCCTAATTGCATTCCTTGTAAAATGGAAACACATATTTCACTTTGTAAGAATTAAATGAGATTATATATATAAAGCCCTTAGGTCTGGCATATAACTAATATTCAATGAATGATGGCTACCACTATCATTAGAATATTTTTTCATTATCATTAGAATACTTTTTATCCCGAAAAATACATATCCCTATTTAAATATGTAAGTTTTATAGGTAAAATCTGGATTATATTAAATTGAAAACAAAAGAAATACCAAATAATCTGATGTTCTATCAAACAGCTGGAACTGCTTATTACTCTTAATTGGAGATTACAATGGAGCTGAAAAGTATGTGATGCAATTTTATATTGTTCTGAAATCTCAATTATATAAAAGCTTTAGAAAAAAGAATTATTCTAGATTATCAAATTTTATGGATAATATGAAGCTTATCACTATCCAACTCTAAACTTTTCCTTAATTTTAGCTACTTGGGAAATAAATATTTTAAAACTTATATTACACCCACTAGAATTGTTAAAATTAAAAAGACTAACAATATCAAAGGTTGATAAGGATGTAAAGCAATGGAACACTCAAACATTACTGATGAAAATGTAAAATGGTACAACCATTTTTGAAAAGAAGTCTGGCAAGTTCTTATAGTTATATACCTGCCATAACACTTAGCAATTCCACCCCTAGATATTTATACCCAAGAGAAGTGGAAACTTGGTACCTGAATGTTAACAGCAGCTTCATTCATAAAAAACAAAAACTCAAACAACCCAATATCCAAAAACAGGTGAAGAGATAAACTGTGGTATATCCATTCAATGGAATGTTATTCAACAATAAAAAGGAAAAGTATAAATACACACAACATAGATAAATCTCAGTTATTACACAGAGGAAAGAAAGCCAAATACAGAAGGGTACATGCTGTGTACACTTTGATTTCTACAAAATTCTAGAAAAGGCAAAACTAATCTTTAATGTCAGAAAGTAGATCAGTGGCTGCCTGGGGACAGGAGTGGATGTGTGTTGGGGAATGATGACAAAAGAGAATGAGACAACTTTCTGGAGTAATAAAAAATTTTTAGATCTCAATGGTTAAATAACATTTGTCAAAACCTATTAAACTCTTCACTTAAAACTGGTTGATTTAGTGTATATAAATTATACGTCAATAAATTTGACGTTGAAACTAGACTACATACTTACTATTTCTGAAACTGAACAACAAAGTATATGTTGCTTGACTGTTATAATGACTATTAAGTATGTTTTAATAAAATGAATGAATATAAACTCTTATATATGTATATACACTTATAAGTATTTATATTACTATGGTCAATTTCTCAGGAACTACTAAGATGTAAAAGGTTGGTCGTCTCTATAATAAACAACTTCCAAACTACCATGATATTTTAATTTTTATGCTTCTTTTTTTTTTTGCATTACGCAGGCCTCTCACTGTTGTGGCCTCTCCCATTGCGGAGCACAGGCTCCGGATGCACAGGCCCAGCGGCCATGGCTCACGGGCCCAGCCACTCCGCGGCATGTGGGATCTTCCCGGACCGGGGCAAGAACCCGTGTCCCCTGCATCGGCAGGCAGACTCTCAACCACTGCGCCACCAGGGAAGCCCTTTATGCTTAATTCTTATCATGATTTTGGTTTGCTTCTTTGCTCAGGCTATCACCTGTTGAACCTAACTTCTCTCAATGCGTCTTCTTTCAGCAACTCCAATCTTTTTTTCACTCTTTTAAAGTTGGGAAATGAAGTATTAAGCTTGTTAAAATTGAGTATGTGCTTTATTCATTTTTTTTAAATAGCAAATTTTATTAGGACATAGCAAATACGATTCAACACAAGCTCATTTGAAATGATAAAATGCCAAAATAAAATGTTGTATACATAGGTTCTGACTTTTAAGGACCTGAGGAACTTTCCTATAAGCAAAATGTGTGACCTTTATTTCAGATGATTTATAAATCTTGTTGTTTTTGTTGTGGATATTGTTGATGCTCTAGCTGCATCCCAATTAACTATATGTATAGATAAAGTGCTCTTTCTTCTTCATACACAGCTATCTATGGAAGAAAAATAAATGTTCCTTCTAAACTTGAGAATATTAAATATTTTAATCACCTATATTTGATTTAGTTCTTTAGAGGGAACCATATTACAGATGAGGTCAATGTTATAAAACCAAATGATTCATGCACAAATATTTTTGTTAATCTATGTGAAGAAAATAATCAGTTTTCAATTAAGAGGGTCCTAGAAGTAGAATTTCTAGATTAAAGTATTTAAGATTCTAGATATAGAATTATATAGAGAGATAGAGATAGATATGGAAAGGGCTTGCATTCTAGTTGTAACCTATAACATCCACTTGGTCTGATCTTATATCTGGATGCCACCAAAATGTGCCAGAGGGAAAAAATTTACAAAGCCATGAAGATGAGAATAAACTACAAAATCCTACTCTATAATCATTCTGTTCACTTTTTAAAATAGTAGATTATACTGGAACACAAATAACATAATTTAACACAAAGTCATCTGATATGATAAATGCCTAAATGGAAAACATCAGCCTAACCACCATATTTGCAATTATTTAAAAATTATAGGGCTTCCCTGGTGGCGCAGTGGTTGAGAGTCCGCCTGCTGATGTAGGGAACACAGGTTCGTGCCCCAGTCCAGGAGGATCCTGCTTGCCGCGGAGCGGCTGGGCCCGTGAGCCATGGCCGCTGAGCCTGTGCGTCTGGAGCCTGTGCTCCGCAACGGGAGAGGCCACACCAGTGAGAGGGCCGCGTACCGCAAAAAAAAAAAATCATATATCTTCATATAGTTTTCTTTGCCTCTTCCAGTTTGTTTTTTTATATCTTCCAAAATTTGATATCTCTAATAATTTTTAAAGAAATACTCATTAAAAAAAAAGGAAAAAAAAAGAAATACTCATTATGCAACTGCCATGGTTTTATGACTCTGGGGATACAGTGATGAAAACAGAAACAAACAAACAAAATTCTCTGTCTCCCTGGGACTCGTACTTTTATTTATGTTAAGAACATGCTTTTTGGTGTCAAACATTCAAGAGTTTGAATACTCTAGTGGTATAACTGTGAGCAACTTGCTTAAATCCAATTAGACCTCAGTTTCTACTAAAATAGGGATGATAATAATATCTAATCAGAGTCACTATGAAAATTAACAGTGAGGACGCTTTTTATTTTTATTTATTAATTTTTTTGGCCTCACGTGGCGGCATGCAGGATCTTAGTTCCCCAACCGGGGTCAAACCTGTGCCCTCTTCA